CTGAAATACAAAGAAATCACTGCCTTCCTGGGACTTCTGTGCCATGCAGGGGGAAAGCCAGGACCCTGCTGTCGCCTCCCACCTTACTCCAATAACCGGGTCCCTTTTTAAACACCCCAGGCTCCATGCACCCTCTGTGCCTTTGCACTGGCTGTTCCCTCCACCTGCAGTACTACTCCCCAGATATCTGCATGCCTCTGTGCGTTCCCTTGCACGTATGCTCACATGTCTTCTCCCCGGTGTGGCCTCCCTTGCTTGCCCTCTGTTTAAAATGCAGCCTTCCCCCCCGTGACACACACATGTAAGACCCAAGGGCAGGGACTGGGTCCTTTTCACTTCTCATGGTGACCCAGCATCCAGCATGGCATTCAGCACCCTGCAGGCACTTGGCAAAGGCAAGCCAGTCCTCCCTGTCACTTCCTCCTTCAGCTGGTCATTCTCTTCCTCAGGTGACTGTTCTCAGTGTGTGCCCTGTGGCAGGTGGCACAATGGATCTGGCTTATGTCTGCGAATGGGAGAAGTGGCCCAAGAGCACCCACTGTCCGTCAGTGCCCCTGGCCTGCGCCTGGTCCTGCCGCAACCTCATCGCTTTCACCACGGACCTCCGGAATGATGACCAGGGTACACCCCTTCACCTCCAGCCCAGCTCCCATTTCCTCTTCTCCCCTCCCCACACATTATATACCCCTGGCTCCCACGGTGCCTGGCATGGGTGACTCCATGTCTCTAGCCTGCCTGGTAGCCACCTCCAACCTGTCCAGGCCCTTTCAGTCCTTCCTCATTCACAATTGGGGGGTGGTGAGGGCCCCAGCCTTTCAGGGGCACATGTATTTAACTGATGGCTGCAGTCCTAAGTGAGCCGTCTATTTTACTGATGCTTGCTCTCCTTGGTGAACCACCTCCCATTTAACTGGTGGCTGCTTTCCTCAGTGAGCCACCCAATTTAACTGATGGCTCTGTGATGGTGCTCTCCTACATCTGGTGCCTGGCGGACACTGGGATCACCCCTGCAGGATAGAAGCGGGGAACGGTGGGCATTTTACCCAGGCTTGTTGGAGATTTGTTTCTCACTTTCCATACCTTACATATTACTTTTTTAAAAACATGTTTTTATTGATTTTGAGGAAGGGAGTGGGAAAGAGAGAAACACTGATGTGAGAGCAAAGCATTGATCGGCTGCCTCCTGCATGCCCTCCATTGAGGATTCAGCCCTCAATCCGGGCATGGGCCCTGATTGAGAATTGAAGCAGCAACCTTTTGGTGCATGGGATGATGCCCAACAACTGAGCCACACTGGCCAGGGCACATGTCACTTGTGACTTTTGAAAGCCTGTAAGGTGCATGCCCACCGCATCTTCGCTCCATCATTTGAGTAATGAGCATTTGTTAGAGAAATTTAGAAAAGCACAGAAATTTAGG